TTTAGCGAATTTCCCTATAGGGAAGTAGCTATTACTGTAGCTGGCACGGCAAGACCTACGCTAAGGATTTAATTTTCCATTTCGATTTCAAGTTCAACCCTCACATCCCTCAAAATGGTGGTTTATTTAATTTGCTCAATCTTCACTATTTTGAATATTATAGCATTTATTTGAGAGTCAAACATTACTGAACCTGTGGATTTCAATGACAGGTGCTTAAACACATTCATTATCATAACAGTGATAGCCTATATTTGTTAATATATAAACAAATATAGTATTTAGGTTTTCTGTCGGAAAGAAATTATATAAATTTGTTTTCAATGGGATTAAAAAGCAAAGATCGAACCAGAGAGATTTGGAAAATATAGTAAAAATATACCCATGAGAAATTATTCGAAAGACATTAAAAAGTGTCTTAAAATGCATTAGTCAACGGTATTTAAGGAATTGTAATGTATTGGTAGACTTCTATCTATTATTGGTATCGATTTATTTTTACTAATTTGAATGGTTAAACCTAATTTTTAAAATTACAATCTATTAAAAAATGAAGAAAAAACTAGAAAGCTGATTTTATTGTTCCCTACCCAACTAAAGTCCCACTTAATTAAACACCTTTCTTCTATCTGGTTATTCTGTTAGATCTAATTTTAAACTTGTTTATCAATTAATCATTATTGTATCGCCATCGTTAATGAAAAATTCTTCAGAGATTTTGTTTCCGTACATTAATTTAAAATGTTAAAATTCATAAAATATTAGTTAAAAGAACTACATTGCATTTGATTCAATGTCAGTTAATTAGTGTAAATGAGTTCACAAGAAAGTGTTGTTGCAGGTATTCTAAAGAAGAATCAGTGTAAGGACGGGGATATCACAACACTATTTTTTTCAAAACTGAATGGTTTATCTTGCTTAAACATTTATGTAAAAGGATGTTTAAATAGAAATGTACATAAAAGCTCGACTTTGATGCTCTGTGCCTCTGTTGAATGTTGGCATAAAGGCTAAGGCGATTAAATCACCAGTGTATTTAACGTCGGCGTTCTGAATTTAAATTAGGTTAAATGGGATCTCTCATAATCGTGCTCTCTTAAGGACATTTGAGTACGTTTGTTCAAATTATCGTCTTTAACTATCTTAATTTAATTTACTAACTTTACTAAGGAAATGTAATTTTATAACGATTCTAGGAGCAAATTATTTGGAAAACTATTTTAGGGCGATATTATTGTCAAAATAGTTAAGTAATATTAAACTACAGTATTGAAAATACGAAACTTACACAAAAAAGAGGATTTTACTGTTCCGTAACTATGTAAGAACATTTATTTATACCACTCACCTTTAGTTTTTTATATCTGAAATTGAACTTTAAATTACAGTCTAATAACACTAGTACAGCAGAAAATTCAAATTAATTATCATCAACATTTTTTTTATTAATTTTTTATTGCTAATTCTGGGATAAATAAGGGCTTAATACGTAAAGGGAGTTACAGCACATTGGAAAAGAACAAATGTACTCAAAAGTCATAGTCTCTCCAACTGAATGCTTCTTTTATCCATCACGTTTTGTAAAATGCGTTGAATTTTTCGCTGTCGTAGATTCAATTACAAATTAGTTAGAATTTTACGAGATGACAAAAATTGTATCTTGTTAGTAGGCTAATTTGACTAACAACGTGTGTATAAGCGATTTGTTTGTATGTTTAGTTTTAACACTGGATGTTGAAATGATAAATAGCTAGTTGTCTATTTGATAGCAATCTGCCACATCAGGCAATCCCGAATACACATTGTGATTTACTACGCAAAATAAAATTTTGTTTTAACTGTAAAAAAATTAAATCTCATCTATCATAATCTGCTGTATAATTTAAATAATTACAATATACTAAAGTATGGTGCAGTCGCGTTAATTGGTTTTTCAATAATAATTTTCCATATCCCCTTTGAGTAAAATTGAGGCATGGAATGTGCCGAAATCAATGTTGACTACAGAAACGGTTGTATACAGCATTCTCTACGTACAAAATATTTGTAATACGCATAGTTTGCAATATTAGACATTATTAAAAAAAGAAATCGTTAACCTCTAATAACAGTAATTTAAATTATCAACTAGGCGCGATTTAAAAAGTCTGGTATAGTAATAACAGTTTTGTTTTGAGAACCAAAGAAATCCAGATTGACAGTCCTGCTGAAATATTTAATCAGAGTATAGTTTTTCAACACCTAAACATGCTTAGTACATTTGATATTTTGAGTAATAATCTTGGTATTCATATCTTAATATATCTAAAGGAAAATAATTTCTAGTTTTCGACATATGATTATCATGATACAATCAATACATCTATACAACATTTTAAGCCGGTCTACTAGCCGACCACATAATCAGAGCGTACAAGGGCTTAAAACAAAAGTTTAAACACCTGCGTTCCAAACTTGGTGGCAAACAAAATATTTTATATGGCAACCAAAATGGGATCCATACCACGCCAGAGTTGGGCGTTTGTTTCGCTGTGTTTGCTAACTGGTAAATTCTGCAAACGCATACATTTGGTATTCTTAGCAGCAAAAACAATAAGGAAAATGTGTGCAACTGTTTTGTCGACTATGTTTGTTTGGATGAGGCTATTTCTATCCAGATATATTGTGAAAACTGTAGGTTTTAACTAGTATCTATTGATTAAAACAACGAACAAAGTGAGGTAACTTCATACATAGTATAATAGGGAAGAAGGAATAAGGTGATTTTCCTGTTCTATACAGGATGATTGGTACTCAGTGTGAAAAATTTTTTTGTGTAAGTTAAAAGTAAATGAAGTGTGATGATGCATATCAAATGTTCCAAGTCTAAAAATTAGCTTCCCAAAAAATTATTGTATGTTTTTAAAAAATAACCATGCTTTTAAACTTAATACAGCGATTTCTCAATTACCTGTATATGAATTTGAGTAGATAATGTCATTTTCGTGTTCTACATTAAATTTTGAACAAGAATAATAGAAAATGACGTAGGATCAGTTGGAAAAACTCCATTGTAAATAGATTCAAAGAAAAAAATTTAGATGTTTGATAAAAATTAAAAAAACAATGGTCTATTGCATTTTTCACACCCTGTATACAAGAAAGTGTCGGAATATGTTAAAAACTGAGGCATTTTATAAGCTTTCCAACCATATGCTACACCATTGAGCTTTATGTCTGCTTATGTACGCTTTAGTGGTTTGAAGACTACAAAGCATGGTGTCTTTAACATTTAAAACATGTATTAAGCAAAAGTTGTATTTTTGTTTCAGCTTGAACAGTAAAAACAGTAAAAAAGTTCTCTGTTTTCTGGTATTCAAACCACTAAAACAAACAAAAATATATCTAAATCTCAATAGTGTAGCATATGATTGGAAAGCTTATAAAGTGGCACAGTTTTTAACATATTCCTACACTTTCTTGTATACAGGGTGTGAAAAATGCAATAGACCATTGTTTTGTTTTTTTTTATTTGTATCAAACATCTTAATTTTTATTTTTGAATCTATTTACAACGGAATTTTGTAAGTTTAAAAAAATGGTAAGTTTTATTAATTTTTTATCTATATAATACCCAGCCATTGCCTTAAGTAGTACAAAAGAAAGAGAGAATCACGAGTTAAGCTTTATCTTCCTTAACATATCAGAGTGTTTTAATTTTTTTCAACCTGGTTAACTCACATTGAAGTTGTAGCATTCAATCTATACTATTATAAAATTGAGGTTGTGTCTGTCTGTCTGTCTGTCTGAGTAGGTGTCACAACTAAGAAAACTAAACCGATATAGCCCAAATTAAGCACAAAGATGGTCAACATATTTAGGAATGGCATAGGTCTATTCACTTCCCTGAATTCTTCTCGGGCTACGCCCCTTGCATGTCCAAAGTTTTGAGGTTACTTTTGAGTGGATTTCAAAATTAAATATTAATTGGTCTCCATGGAAGCATGAGAAAATACAATTACTATGTATACCTTTGAATTGACTTTTAAATGTAAACAATCAGAACTGCCAAATGCTCAATTTACAATTTTAGACAGCTGATCGAAAGAAATTTGGGTAAATATATTTAACACAACCATGCGGTATGATTATTTAATCTAAATCTATTATTTCTATTTTTATAAAGAGCACGGGTACAGCAGCTAGTAATAAAATATATATATATATAGATTGGAATATTCCTGATATTTCAGCCTTGTATGGTTGTTGTAGAGCTTGATTTTAGAAAACATTTCATAGTTTATTAACAATTAGTTTGTGTTTTATCCTTAAATGGTATGTGCTCTTCTGATAAATAATATCTTTTCATACTACCACTGGTTCGATTGTTTCTAACAGTTAAACAGTAACATTTGTATTTACACTAAATGGTTACACAGAAAATTAATTAAATATGTAAAAAAACCTCTCTTACATTTTAGAACATCACAGAGTTCCATAATAAAAATATATATAATATTGCAGGAAATAATAAAAAAAACACTACAGAAACGACCACTTCACTTCAATTCACACGATAAATTTCAAAACTACAATATCGAATATGATCAATATACTGTACATTGCAATTCGTGAATGCTTTAGTCACTAATCAAAACACAAAACCATTAGTTCTGTAAAATCACATTTTTTGTTCACAAAACACGCTCACTTAATCCAAGCAAGTGGAAGTTAATTAAGTAAGTTGAAGTTAGTCCAACAATCAAACATTCTTTTGATAACATGCAAACGTGAATTGAAAGTGTATTAAATAAGGATAAAATATTACAATAAATAAATATTCCTGACATAATAATTTTAAGTCAGTTAGTAAAACGGTTACCCAAGTGGTTTCGTGACTTACGACAGTAAAACTACTCGTAACACTTTAAGGATGAAGCAAAGGAAGATGGACGAGAAAGAAGCATTAAAAGACAGCTAAAATGTAAGAAATGAGATTGTGCAAAGTAATAAGATTGTACCATCTGGTGCGTGGTCCACTCCGCTCCCGGGCTCTACACTCCCGGGCTTACTGCCGACACCCGCCAAAACATTGTTTAAAGTATTTCCACTAGAAACTATAAGTGAACTTATCACAACTCCGTAAAGTACTGAATATTTAACATAATATGGCAACCGGAATAAATTAACGAATTATAAGTTGCACGTTTACGTGAGCACAAGTAGTGTGCGTGGTGTGTAGTTATAAGAGCGTAACACGCGTGACGCAGGGTAGTTACACGACGTGGCGCGGCCACGGGCTCACTGACGCCCGGCACCGTTGTCGGACTTGCGCCACCCCGCCACCCATCCGCCCGCCGCCCGCCGCCGCCGCCCGCCGCCCCGCACCAGCTCATTCACCACCACTGCCCGCGCCCTCCACCAGCTGTCCTTCCATTCACCGCTTCATCGATTCGCTATTGCTTTGTTTGATCATGAATATAAATCCCATTACGATCTGTATTGTCATGCTGCAAACAGAATTTTTAATATTTTCTCTGCAATTAAATGTTTCAAAATCGAATTGCCAATTTAGAGGAACGTGTGTGATTTAGCCTTCCAAAATCAAGCAGTGTGTCACACTATGAAATAAGAAGGGCCCTATTAGTTTTTTTAAACTCACTTCTTATATCTTCATCTGACCCTCCTTGGTTAGAAACAAAACTTGCCAAGTACCAAAACTGTTCAACGTGCCATGAAAACATGTTATTTTACTTTCTATTCTAAAGCCCATAAAAAATGTTAAGTCACACTATGATTAAACATTATTCTTTCGATGGTACGTTCAAGACGAAAAACTGGTTGACCGTGTTTTAAAGGGATTAAAAATCATCTCTCAAAGCCGATGTATCCAAAACAAGCAATGAATAAATACAAATAAATCTGGTTAGCAGTTTCACATTTTGTAAAAAATAATTGGTTTACATTCTAAATCCAGAACGATGTAGGAAAAACTGTGAGTCAACTAATAATGATTACAAGCTAATATCATGAGGGAGTATGTTTTATCTATGCGGATAACCTAACAATTGATATCCCAAAATAATAATAGGGAGCATCATTCAAGAACTCACCCTGTGGAAAAGAAGAAATAAATTTAGGAATTTAATTACCAAAGTGAATTAAAATACTCTACCTTTATACATATTACACGTTCAGTTTTCACCCATTAGTATTCATAGAAGTTTCCAACCGCAATGACTGCTTTAGTGGTCAAAACAATTGCATTCTTCGTTACGTTGATTTTATAGAGAACCCGCTGAAGTCAGCTGGAAGAGAAGCAGAAAGATAATGTAGAACATGATACACGTGCAATAAAGGAGATTATTTACCGTTCTCTACATTCATTCTCCTCTTGGAGCACGTTTTCCTGACGATGCAAACCCAATAAAACACCCCTCACTCCCCAGTCGCCTTGCGTCTCTGGTTATTATTCTACATATTATAGTTGAGGTATAGTTGAAGAAATCTGTATTTTTCTAGACCTATATTATTTTCTGCAACATAAGCTAATAAAAGATCACCTTACCAGATGAGACAATGAGAGTGCCCTAATTTATAAATGGTATACATTTAGTACGATTTAATCTATATTTGTAAATAGGACATTAGAACAGCTTCTCTTATGTCAACTTAAAATTCTGAAGTCATTTCAGATTCCTTAAAAACAACATTCTTCGAGTGACTTACTTGTCCTACTTGACATTCCGCTTGCTAATTGCATTCAATACTGAATCCACATTTTCTACAGGAATTCCTTAAACTTCCTCGGAAAATGTAAGCTTCAGATAAAGCATATTACCCGGGTGACTTTAAAATTCTCGAATTGTAGGTTATGGGGATAACGCAAAAGAAAGGAAAGAGCCAACGGAAAGCTTTCAACAACGAGGGCCTTCTGAGAAACCTCTTTGGACTTTCAGAATCTACGACTTGCAATTATTCCATATTTGCTGGTCAACGAAGAGTTTTGCGACTTTTACCTGAATTAACTGATATTATAAAAAAATGTATTCTATACATTCCCAGAGACATCAAGATGCATCCGATAAAATTCAAGACTTAAAAGAAATGGTGGGAAGAGTTTGACTGAATTTAAACATCACAGGACTAAAGACCTGGGGATCATCAACGAGCGAGAAGAACCTCTATTTGTGAGGAAAAATTAGATTGAACGCGTTGAACAGTTTGTCTAGGTAGGCCTACTTGGAAATTGTTGTTTCTAACCAAGGAGGAATAGATGGAGATGTAAGAAGACGGCTGAAAAAAAGCTAAAGGGACCTATCTTATTCCAACTTGGGGATCTTCCCAACTAAGCTTGTTACTTTAAACTGAGACTTTTGGAAACAAATGTCAACTCAGTTCTGTTGTACGGCTGTGAGACCTGGAAATAGAAATGAGCGAGCCTTTCAGGTCTTTGTTAACAATTGTCTCAGGTCAATTTTAGGAATAAGATGGTCTGTGGTAATTTCCAACGAGGAGTTATGGGTCATTACCAAACAAATCTCACTCAAGTAGAAACATTTAAGAAAGGAAGTGGAAATGGATTGTTCACATACCAAGAATGGGAGGGATCGAGCTAGTAAGAAAAGTCCTGTATTGGAATCCGCAAGGTCAGAGAAGAAGGGGGAGACGAAAAATGACTTGAAGCCTCCAAGTTGGAGGCGTACGGTGTACCAAGAGCTGCGGAAGGCTTGGAAGTCATGGCTGGAGGACGGAGGTGTCAAAAATCGCTCCCAGCCAAGTACGCTGGAGAGGTCTGGTTGCTGCACATTTTCCTCGGAAAAGTAACAGGAGATAATCCAAGTAAACAATTGTACCCAGTTCCCTATAGTTTTTTCGATCCGCAACAGCGACCTGTTGACCAACGATGAAAATGTGGTTGCTCTGAGTGTTTGCAAAAGAGTCACTATTCTTAAATAGATTTGAACAAAATATTCCAGTGTTAATCACCCTATGCTCACTAATAGCACTTTGTTTACTGAAATGGTATGGTTTACTTACGATTATAAGCACAGCTGATCATTCATTGTTGCATAACCTATAATGCAAGAGGGAGGAAAATTGGGGTACTCTCATTGCCTCACCTTGTATTGTTCTATTGAAAGTCGTTCCAGTCCAAGCACGAAATTATTAAGATAAGTTATTTTAATATCAAATTAAATATCTAACCTGCCATAAATTCAACTGCAATCACATTTTCACTCAAATTTTACTAACTCGTCAATAGGTTTCTTTCGAAAAGAAGTTAAGACCACTGTTACCAATCTTCTTGGAAAGACATCTGTGCGGGAACTTGTAGTTTATCTTTTTTGGATCTCTTAGACTACAACAAACCATTAGTTCACTATACAATTAGTTTTGATGCGGTAAATTGATTGATTTCGAATCTGTAATATTCGTTAGTTAATTCCCTTACATGCTTTGGAACGTCATTACATAATGTTTTTAGTTTCTCATAATAGACAGCCAAACCACTGATCCAGTAAAGCTTAGTACGATACAAGAATCTAACTTAATATTACATTTACAGATATTTAAAACAAAACAAAAAAAACTGAGTATAGTAACTAGAAATATGCATACCAGCAGATTTTCTGCTTCGGAGTACACGTATGCTTAACTAGTTCAATATGTGTAGGACTTCATTTTTATGTATTTTTTAACATCGTAATTTGGTTACACTAAATTAATATTGAAAATTTAAGGAAAGTTCATTCTAGTTTCATTTCTAATGAAATATGAGGAGGAGATTAACGTAAATACGTCCTGCTAATTTTCTAGGTGTAAAATCTTAGGCTTCATATTCATGATCTAGGTTTGTATAGCGGATCAGATTTTGCCCGAGATTCATACTTTATGTAAACACTAAAACATTTTAGGAGAAAAATGAGAACAAGTGTTTTTTTTCTTTTTATTTAGATCAGAAGAAAAACGACAACAATGCACAACAATATCCAAGCACATGATATTAAAAAGCCAAAACATATTGTAGATTAAAGACAGACAAAGTATAAATTTAATAGCGTACCTGACAACAGTAGTTGTTCCGAAGTATCTCTGGAAATTTTAAGTCTATATTATGTAGAGCGATTCGCACTTATCATGTTTGTTATGTTTTTTTGTCGTTATTTAATTATAGATAATGCCTTCTCCCTAAATAAAGACATGATTGAGTACGTGTTATTGTAATTTTATACATTAAGCTGGATAACACGTTTTTTTTTATAATCCACCTGACTTCCATGCGTAGTAGTTATTTAAGCAACTAATTTAATAAAAGGGATTAAACCTTCTTCACTATAAAATGCTAAAGAACGTCCTCAAACGAATCAATTGCCAAAGATCCGCTGTATCGAGGCTGAAATTGATTCCTCAAAGACAGGAAGGTCAAAGGAAACTAATCAAAAGTTCAGCGCTGGACCAGCATTTGACTTTTCATTGTCTCTAACGATATCTCCTTTACTTAACAGATTTGTGTTTTCCACATTGAATATATAATAAGTATTATATCTACGTTAAACTTATGGTAATTTTCAAAAGCACGTAACAATGTTTGCATCTAGTTGTTTGTTTTCATCAAATCAATGAAGTTAAGTGATTAATTAAGAAAATATTTACTTTATTTGTAAAAAATCTATCTTGCAAAACTAATAAAGCAAATATTCTAAGTTGTGTAAGTATAGCCATAGGTTTTTACTATGGAAAGCTTATTTTGAACCTAGAGCTTTGCAAAACCATGAGCATGACCAGTTGGCTATTTGCTTTTTTTGTCTGGTTGGACCTCTACATACGTCGCCATCAGGAACTGCAAACGTTACAAACAAGAAACCCAAATTGCCATGACATTACAGTGCAATTGCATTATAATTCCTTATGTCCCAATGTCCTTCTGATATGTATTTCAGAGGAAAAAGTTTAATAGAAACAGATAAGGTTCTTTAACAGAGGAAACATTCAATGGTACACTTATGTATAATGCCTTACTTCTTCGTGGAATATACTGTGCACAGACAGTGTGTCAGCTTCCTGGATTACAAAGACCAAATTGTATCACATCTCCTTAGTTATACACATATATTTTATACTAAACAGGATAAAGTTGGCAACAGTGCGTATCTCGCTGGGCAGCTGATTGCGGCTCAGCGGCGTGAAATTGGGTCATAAATCTCAGATAACTACATTAAATGGCGATCGATACCTCGGTTCTAAACAAACTTAACGCACGGTTTTAACTTAAGATGTTCCTAAACATA